CGCCACTCCTGATCAACCTGTAGCTAACAAGGAATCCCCTTTACAATTTTCTTAACCAGTGGTCCTTGAGGATCCACTCTGAGACCTCAGTTGATGGGGAACCCACTGCCCACTCTACTGTTGGACAGCTCTAAGCTTTTTCTTTGTATGGAGCCAAAATCTACTTTTCCATAATTTCTACACATTGCTACTCCTTCTGCCCTCTGGGGCCAAAAAGAACTAGTCTGATCCTTAGGTGGCTCAGTGGGTTTAAGTATGCTAGACCTGCAGTCAGGAAAACTTAAGTTCAAATCTTGCCTCAGATACTCACTAGCTGGGTGACTTGGAGCAATTTTCATTTCCATCTCTTCATCTGTGAAATGGGGATATTAATAGCACCTACCTTCCAGGGTTGTTGTGAGGATCAAAAGAGATAACATGGGCAGTGCTTTGCAAAATCCTACTAGCTATTCTTATTGTTTGACATGACAGCCCTTTCAAATACTGAAAACAACTACAATGTCCTTCCCAAGTCTTCTTTTCTCCAGTCTTAACAGCTTCAGTGCCTTTAGCCAGTTTTCCTAGGGCACAGTTTCGAGTCCATCCACCAGCCTATTTGACCCTCCTTTGAAATATCTTCATTCCCTTCCCCCTGTTTCCCAGCAGCGGCCTTGTCAGAGCAGAAGCTACTCTCCCTGACTAAACTGAGGCCCAGACCTTCTCCTAAGGTCACACAAGAAGCCAAGGAAGGGTCTGAAAAGAGAACATGGGCTCCTGTATCAGTTTTTTTTTTAACTCAAACACTCCCAAGGGCTAGAAATATTACATTCACTCAGAATTACACTTGGAGACGCCTGGTTGGAGAAGTCAGGTCTACTAAACAACTTAGAATATAGAGTGTTACTCAGAAGAGTAACTCAGAGTAACTCAGAAGAGTACTCAGAGAATATATCTGGACCAACTCCCTCATTTTATGGATAGGGAAATGGGCCTAGAAAGGGGAAGTAACATTTTCCAAATCACAGAGCAAGCTGGGACTAGAACCCAGCTCTCCTGATTCCCCAGGGCAGTACAAACTTACTTTCTAGAATAATGATGATGATATTGTCAATGATGATGATGGCAGACCTAATGTGATACCAATCAAGCCACTAATGATCAGCCCTAACTTGGAACAGAAGAACCAGGGAGAGAGGGATGGAGCTAGAGCTGAACTAGAACCCAGGTTTCCTTCACTCCTAGTCTTGTCCTCTCACTAGGCTGACAACAGACTGATGGGAAAGTCTCCCTCTTGAGTTTTTTAAAGAATTCTGCCTTTTCTGTTTCCCTAGCAACTGACCCCTTCTACAATTCCTATCTTCCCAACCTTCTTTTTTGCCTGAGGGAAAGAGAATGAGGAGGGTTGAACAGGAGCATTCTGGGAAAAACTAGAATACCCATCATCCTTTCCTAGAACTCAAATTCCCAGGGACCTTTGCAGGCTTGTCTTGGGAAGGGTTAACGCTTCATGAGTGAGTAGCATAGCAAGAACTCCAATCTTGTCTTTTAAACTTTAAATCCAAACCTTCTTCCATTACACCCTGTTGCCCCTTCCTTCCTTCCAAATAGTGGCTTTTAAAGGCCCAAGTCTGGCTTGATTGCTTGTCCATCCTGTTTCTACCAGCAGTGGGCACTCACTGCTTCTGCAATGACACAGATGTGGAGTGTCATTATACAGAGTGCAGATTTCTCTAATGCCTGGGCTTGTTCAGTTCAGTCTTCTATGTGCCCACATGTCACAATGGCCTGGTTGGTCCTAAGACCCCAAAGCAGGGGGGGATTATTACCACTCCGCATTCGGGGCTCTATTCTGTGCACAGGGCTTGCTAGTCTCCTTATCACATCACACAGAGACCGTTACAATAACCTCATTGGATTCCCCACCTCTATTCTCTCTTCCAATCCATCCTATACAGACTATTGGGATGTCTTCTTAAGGCACAGTTCGGATCATGCCCTTCCCCTGCTCTAAGCCATGGCTCCCCCCGGCTACACGATATAGTTTAAAATTAGTGTTCAAGATGCTGAGTTCAAGTGTTCAAGGAGCAGAACCAGGAGAACATTGTACACAGTACAACACTGTGAGATGACCAACTTTGATAGACTTACCTCTTCTCAGCAATACAATGATCTAAGACAATTTCAAAACACTCATGATGGAAAATGCTGTCCACATCCAGAGAAAGAACTATGAAGTCTGGATGCAGATCTAAGCATGCTATTTTCTCTTTTTTTGTTGTCGCTTTTTCTTTCTCATGGTTTCCCTCTTTGTTCTGATTCTTTTTTCACAACATGACTAATGTGGAAATATGTTTAATATGATTTTACATGTATAGCCTATATCAGATTGCATGCTGCCTAGGAGAGGGGGCAGGGGAGAGAAGGAGGAAAAAATTTGGAACTCAAAATCTTCTAAAAGTGAATGTTGAAAACTAAAATAATAAAATAAAATAATTTTTAAAATAAATTTAAAATAAATAAAATAATTTAAAATAAAAATAATAAACCTAATAATAAATAATTTTAAAAATAAAATAAAAATTTAAATTTAAATAATTTTAAATAAATTTTTAAAATAATCAAACCAAAAAAACCTGGTATTCAAGAGATTGCAGATTTTGGTCCCTAATCTATTTCTCCAGGCTTACTACACCTTACTTCTTCCCCTAAAACTCACCCCCACATACACATACACACATACTCCCCCGACTCAAATATTGCACTTCAGCCAACTAACTGGCCTCTAGCTCCGTTTTTTGTCTTTGTAGCCCTGGTACCTGGCACATAGTGGATTTTTCATAAATGTTCATATCGATTTCACTATCCCCCAAGTATGTCTATGTGCCTTTGTTCACATGACCTCCGCTCTACCTGAATTGATCTACCTATCCTTCAAGGCCCAGCTGATGTCCTTCCTCTTGCATGAAGCTCCCCTGACTCTTCCCTCTACCACCCTCCCACCCCCATCTCCCACTAGACCTGAGAGACTACGTAACATAGAGCAGAGAATGCTAGATTTAAGAGTCAAGGAGATATGAGTTCAAATTCTGCCTCAGAATTTACTAACTGTGTGACCCTTGGCAAGCCATTTAACCTCTCAACCTTAGTTTCCTCAGCTGTAAAATGGGGATAATAGCCCACACCTCCCAGTGAGGATTGAATAAGATAAGGCACAAAAAGTGCCTTGCAAAGATGGACTAGCCACTTCTACATCAGCTTTTTTTCCCCTGGCATGTACCCTTGTATTTTGTTCAGTTATACTGTCTCCCCAGCTAGACTGGGAAGCAGCTTATGGTCAGAGACCCACTGTCTGCAGAACCTGCTCCATAGCAACAAGTGAAAGACTGGGCACATAGTAGGTATGCAATAAATGTTTGTGGATGGATCACTGGGGGGATGACCATAGATATAGATCTGGAAGGGACAAAAAGAAGATGCCCATGCCATCTTCTTCATATGACAGATGAGGCAACTGAGGCCTAGGGAGTTCATGTGACTTGCCCAAGGTCACACAAGCAGTAATCTTTGGAGGTAGCATTCGAACCCAGGTCCTCCGACTCCAAATCCAGGGCTCTTTCCACTGTCTGATCAACTTGAGGCAACTCAGTGGTGCAGCGGATAGAGCACTGGGCCTGGAGTCAGGAAGACCTGAGTTCTACCCTCAGATATTGACTTGCTGTGCAAGTCACTTAATCTCTGTTCGCTTCAGTTTCCTCAACTGCAAAATGGGAATAATAGCACTTATCACCAGGGTTGTTGTGAGGATTGATGAGATAGTATTTGTAAACCACTTAGCCCAGTGCCTGGCACACAATAGGTGCTATATTAATGCTTGCCTCTTAACTTTTCACCTATACCTGCTGCCTCTGGGATGGGACCCTGCTGTGTAGAGTATTTCAACCCTGTCTGAGCTTCCATGTGATCTGTGAAGCAAGGCTTTTTTGTGACTTTAATGTTACAAACAAAGGGGCAGCTAGGTGGTGCAGTGGACAGAGTCAAGAGGACCTGAGTTCAAATCTAGCCTCAGACACTTGACACTTACTAGCTGTGTGACCTTAAGCAAGTCACTTAACACCATTGGCTAACCCCCCCCCCTCAAAAAAAAATAAAGTAATAAACAAAATATCAGGGCTGGAAGAGACCTTAGGGGCTCAGGATATCAGGGTTGGAAGGGATCTTAAAATATGGAATGCCAGAGCTGGGAGGGCCCTTGAAACCATCTAGTTCAACAACCTCATTTTCCAGATCAGAAACAGTTCAAGGGAGGGCAAGTGACACAGGTTTCAAGATCCAATCGCTTTGTCAAGTTGAACTTAACTGACTAGCAATCAGATTCTTAAGCAACAGTTCTTGGTTCTTGGGTAGAAAGAGAAATGGACTTAAAGATGGAGGATCTGGGTTCCAATCCTGTCTCTACCACTTCCTGTTGTTGTTCAGTCATTTCCAACTCTTCATGACCCCATCTGAGGTTTTCTTGGCAGAGATACTGGAGTGGTTTGCCATTTCCTTTTCCGGCTCATTTTACAGATGAGGAAACTGAGGAAAACAGGGTTAAGTGACTTGCCCAGGGTCACACAACTACAGTAGTAAGTGTCTGAGGCCAGATTTGAACTCGGGAAGATGAGTCTTCCTGACTCTAACCCGGGAGTTCTATCCATTGTGCCACCTAGCTGCCCCATACCACTTAACTACCTGTATGATTTTTGGTACATCACTTAATATCTCTGGGCCTCAGTTTCCTCATCTGTAAAAAAAAAAAAAGAAGGTTGCACTAGATGGTTTCTAAGGTCCTTTTTTTCCAGCTCAAGATCTCTAATCCTAAAAGTTTGGCTTCTTAGCCTGAGGCCACTGTCCCAAGATTCACTTGGGGTCTTGGTATTTGAGAGCTCCTAGTTTCAAGGACTGGTGCACACGGAGACTGCACAGAAACCTCACCATGAAAAAGTCTTGGCTGAGGTTTCAGACACAAGAAAGAAAGACAGTGACAGCTTAATAATATTTATTCCTGTACAAACCATTACAAAACCACCTTTCAGGGCTGAGGAAATTGAGTGGTGGTGGTGGTGGTGAGGGGAAGGCTTGTGCTGACACCCAAGAACAAAACGTACACTTCCTGACCCATGTGCTAGCCTAGCATCTGTCCCCAACCTGCCTTGTTCTACATGGCCCCCCAGACACCCTCCAAAGAGACACATCCAGGAATGCTTTATCACATATCCCATGTCCTTCATCTTGATGCTTAGGAACTAAATGGCATGCTGAGTAGCTAGGGATACCCACTCTATCCCCACCAGCTCCTTTGGGGCTGCCCACTTTGTGCCACAGTAGCCACAGTTTAGGGAAAAAAACAGAGCCAGCAATTAAGTGACAGGTCAGAAGGAAGGGAACCTGGAACCCAAGTGCTCTTACTCCTCATTCCCTCTTCTGCTACTTGAGTAGCCAGTTGGCTTTTTGGTTAGTAGGGCTTTTAACCCCTCCAGACAGAAGGGATGTGCAAACAAAATTCCAATTCCAGTTAGAATGCCCATTTCCTTTTTCTGGAATCTGGGTATAAGTCGAGCCTGCAGCCATAAGTTTCTTCCCAAACTAGTGGAAAATCACTCAGCAGGTGGGAAGGGACCTCACTGAGGTGAGAATGAGACATCATCAAATTGGGGAGGTGGGATGGGGAACAAATGGAGAAGAGGAGATGAGGCACTGTCGATTTAATTGTCAAGGAGATTAGCAGCTGTAAGGGGGCAGGGCGGAGGGGATGAATCCAATTGGATGTTTACCCCCTCAGGAGTGGGGGTGCTCCCCCCTTAACTGCCAATCACAGCCTTGGGAAGAAAGAGGTATTGGAAGGACTGGGGAGAAGGGGTCTGGGAGAGGTCTTTGCCTATCCTGATAGAGCTGAGTTGTCTAGTCATTAGTTCCCAGGCCATGCCTGCCCAGAATGGGAATTGAAAAAGAGAGGGAAAGTAAAGGGCATGGGGTCAGAAACAGAATGTCTGGGCTGGAAGAGACCTCAGAGATCATTGAGTCCAAACCCTTCAATTTATAGAAGACGAAAATGAGACCCCATAGAGAGAAAGTTACTTGCCCAAGGTCCAATAGTGAATTAGCAGCAGAGTTGAGACTAGAACCCAGGGTCTCAGTCCAGGGATCCCTCATAGCACACAATCATTTCTCCCTCTCCTTTTCTTCCCATTTTCAGTGCCAAACATTGGGGCCAAACACTTCCAAGTTGTACGGATTGAAGAAAAAGGCCCCTGGAAAGCACAGGGCCACAGAAATGCTAAGGACTGTCCTTGGCTCTCTCATCAGGCTAGGACAAAAGGAACCCAGTCAGTGAAGAGAAGGGGAGGCTGTGTCCTGCTTCACTTAGAGGACTTGCTGAGAGAGCAGGCCCAGGCTTCAGTGGGCAGGGGCACCGAGACCATTCAAAGTGGTTTGCACCTGTGGCAAAGGGCATGTTATATGCCTCCTCTCCCAGCTCCTGGTCCAAGACCCCAGTGTCTCTGGGCCCAGGACCTCCTCTAAAGTCAACTGGAAAAAAACTGGAAGTTTTTTGTTTGTTTGTTTGTTTTGTTTTGTTTAGTTTTCTGGTGTCTCTTTAGGGAGAAACACCCTAGGGCCAAAGAAATCAGAACTAAGGCCTCATGGGGAAGGTCATGTCCTTGCCCTCTAACTCAGAAATGGGATCACAGCCCAGGTTGGCTGAAGGATACCCCAAGACCCTGATTCATTAGGAAATGCACCCCAGACCCTGTTTAGCTAAGATACACCTCTAAGACCCTGATTGGCCAAAAGATACCCTCAAAGATGCCAAATAACCTGGAGATTCTGCCCTCTAGGCCTTGAATGACTAGAAGAGGCTCCAAGATCAATTAGTTGAGATATTGATTGGCCAGCAGAATTCTCCTGACTCCCAACTGGCCAGGACCTACCCCCTACAACCTGATTGTCTAGGAACCTACCCTCTGAGCCCTGATTGTCCAGGAGATACCCTTATGTCCAGGAAGGATGGGAGAAGGTAATGTTGTAGGCCCTAGACCAGGAGGAGAAAACCTTCTTCTCAGTGATGAAGCGGTGGTGATTCCCCTTGTGGCTGTGCTCATTCTGGATGTAGGTGATGCATTCATCTGGCCCCTTGGGCTCGTAGTAGTGATAGGGCATCCGGCGGGGCTGGGGCCGCTGGCTAGAGAGGAGACAAAGAAAAGAGCATGCTGCTGAAGGATACCTCAAGGACTCACAGGAGAAAAGAGATACACCCCTGGATGCCCCTTTCCTGACAAGATAAAAATGCCCTGAGGTTCTGAATGGCCCCACATGTACCCCATCCCACTTCCAAGCTACTCCAGAGATACCTTGGTTGGCCCAGCTAGGGGGATTAAACTAAGTCTAAAGGCAAGACCAAACAGTTAATTCATAGTGGAAACAGGACTCACATGTGGGACCAGTTGCATGTTCTTGGGCACATCACTGTTTCCTCTTCTTTAAAAGGAGAGGGGGTTGGACTTAGATGACCACCAAGGTCCTTTCCAACTCTTAACAGTCTCTATCATCCATTCAACAAACATTTATTGAATGTTTATATTGTACATAGGAGACACACAAAGTTTAGATGAGATGTGGTTCCTTTCCTCAGGAAGCTTCCAGTCTAGGAGGGGGATAATGGCTAAACAGTTTTGGGGTTGGGATAAGCTGACTGATGGTTTGGGTGAGGGCCATCCTGGTGAAGCTACAAAGGCAGTTTAATATGCCCACTTTTGTGGTCAGGTGGGAATATGGGATATTCTGTCCTTCCCCATGGACCTCTAGCTAAGGTGGGGTACGGGAAGAGGGTAGGAGTCAGGGAAGAACAGAAACGTTACCTGCAGTAGGTGGGCGGCACCATCCCATAGACATGGACCCGGTCACATAGCTCCACAGCAATTACCATGGTGAACCAGCCTGTGCTCAGCCAGGATCGAGACTTCTCCCTATGGGCCAGGAGCCAGGGAGCAGAGAGTAAGGGAGGGGTAGCTTTGGGGAAGGGAGCTGAGCATAGGTCCAGGTGAGGAGGAAAGGAAAGCCATGTAACTACAGTATCTACTCACCCTCCTATTCTTCCTTCTAAAACCTGGTCCCCAGCCTCCCTCTGGCCAGTCACTCTCACCATTCAAAGAAGCCAATGTGAAGAAACGTCCTTCCCTCATTACACATGAGATCTTGCCTTTAAAAAAAATTGGCCTCAGTGAGAAAGAAAGGATTTACTCCTGAGCCCCAGATCTTTCTCCAAAAGAAGTGCAATGTAATGAAAAGTGTGTTGAGATAGATCTGGATTCCAATCTTGGCTGTTTTTACCTGTGTCATCTCAGGCAAATCAATTTAACCTCTCTGAATCTCACTTGCTTCATCAGTAAAAGGAAGGGTCTGGATTAGAAGATGTTTTAAGTTTCTTTCTTTTTTTTTTTTCTTGGAGGCAATTGGGGTTAAGTGAGTTGTCCAAGGTCATATGGCTAGTAAATGCCTGAGGATTTGAATTCAAGTCCTCCTGACTCCAGAATCTGTGTTCTATCCACGTAGCTGCCCCCTTAAAGTTCTTTCTAGGGGCAGCTAGGTGGTGCAGTGGATAGAGCACTGGCCCTGGAGTCAGGAGGACCTGAGTTCAAATCCAGCCTCAGACACTTGACACTTACTAGCTGTGTGACCCTGGACAAGTCACTTAACCCCACTGACTATCCAAAAACAAAAACAAAAAAGTTCTTTCTAAAAGTGATAATGATCCTAGGATTTTTTAGTCCCCAGTAAGCAGGATTCACATATCCATTAGGTTGGCAGCATCTCTACTTCCTAAATACCAAGTTTTCCCTCTCCTCAGGGGTACAAGGATTCCCTAAGCCCTCCCTTAATCTAGCAAACATAGCCAAGAGAGAATTAGTCTATAACTTGACCCTCTTAAACTCGGTACTTTCTTTCTCTTAGTGTCATTGGTTCAGTGGAAGGACAGCTGACCTTGAATTCAAGCACCCTGGGTTCAAAGTTCAAAGACCATCGCTGTTACTTTCTACCTGTGTGACCTTGGACAAGGCACTTAAACCTTTCTCCATCACTAAAATGAGGGGCTGAATTGTATGACATCTGAGGTCCCTTCTAGATCAATAATCCAATGTCCACTTTGCCCCATGATTTATTTCTCAGTAAAGTTTTGTACTTAAACCAACAGTCATATCGGATTGTGGCTACCTCCTAGTGTGCCTCCACAGCATCTCCCAGTCATGGCACATGGTCACCAGCCTTATCATCTCTTCTCTAGACTTTGTCTCCTACTGGTCTCCCTCCTGCCAGTGCCTCCCCTCTCCATTATGTCCTCCACAAAGCTGTCAAAATGAGTTTTCTAAAACTCAGGGTTGACCATCTCATTCTCCTGCTCAAAAAAGGGGTGGCTGTCTATGGACTCTCTCAGGATTAAATACAAACTCCTCTGTTGGGAGTTTAAAACCCTGCAAAATCTGACTCCAAACCACCTTTCCAGATTTATTATATATTACCCCCTTTTATATACTCTACATACTACTGTTCTTCACACACACACACACACACACACATCATTACATCTCTTCTTTTCATATCTTTACACAAGCTGCTCGGCGCATACTTGGGATATACTCTCTCTTCGCCTGTTTCTAGTTTTCTTTAAAGCTCATCTCAAGCACCTTCTACATGGAACTTTACTGATTTTTACACCACCTCCCACCCTCTCCTCTCCTCCTCCACCTTCCAAAACTAGCTTGTATTTATTTTTCATATACTTATATGTGTAAATGCCATCTTGCCCATAGCCCCTTGAGGGCAAGGGGTTTTCTCATTTTATTTGTAGCCCCAGTACCTAGCATATTGACTGGCACATAACAGATGTTTAATAAATGCTTATTGATTGATTCATTGATTGGTTGGAGTTATTAAGCCTACAGAAAACAAAGGTGCTGTTTATGTTAGGGGAGACTGCACCAGCAAAGAGGAATCAGAACAATGCATGCTGGGAGCTGGGGGGTGGTCAGTTCATAGGCACAATTGCAGTGTGAGGGAAAAGAAATGCCAGGAAGCCTGAGTAGACAAGGAAGCAGGTACCTGTCCTTGCCCGTCTCACCCCGGAAGAGGTCATCAAACTGCCGCATGCGGGTGGGCGAGACGGCATAGGCAGCCATATTGGGGAAGGCAAGACCCACTCGCTGGATGACGTGGAGCAGGCTGCCATTGGGTTTCTGCATTTTGCTGGGGGGTCCCCAGAAGATGAACACGGTCTCCGGTGTCTTATTGACAAACTCCTGGGGCCGCCGTAGAACACGGTAAACACTGGAGTGAGCCACAACTCGAAAGGTGGTCTTGCTACCCACGTCCACCTCATAGCCTGTGGTGGGTGCATCATTCATGCGTATGGTACACTCTGCCCGTTCAATCTCTGGTCCCAGCTTCGTGCCCAGAAGGTGGCTTGAGCTGGTGATGATCACACACTGGTGACAGTGGGAGGTCAGTGTCTGCCAAGGGAGAAGAAGAAGAAGATTCTCTGATTTTATATCAAATCTCAGCTCTGCCGGTCATTATCTGCAAGACCTTCAGTAGGTAACTCAATATCCCTGGGCCTGTTTCCCCATCAGAAAAATGAGGCTGTTGGACACCTTTGACTGTAAGGTCCCTTCCAGTGCTATATTTCTATGAAAATGTAGATCCTATATGGTGCTTTAAGGTTGAAAACGCTTTACATACATTATCTCATTTGATCTTTCCAACAACCTTGCAAGTAGATGAAGGACCTGAGTCTCAGAAATGTTAAGTGACTCACCTAGGGTCATGACAGCCTTCCCTTACTCACTTCTGACCAGGGCAAAGTACAGTGGAATTCTCAGCTTCTGCACTTTAGACACTCTACTTCAGTTAAGTTAAGGTAGCCTAAAGGTACACCACCATGTTTGGTAATCATGTCAACTGTTGGCTTACATCTGACTCATAGTCCAATATTACTGATTTGGGGCAGCTAGATGGTGCTATAGTGCACAGAGCACCTGGTGGAGAGTCAGGAAAACCCAAGTTCAAATCCAGCCTCAGGCATTTACTAGCTGTGTGACCCTGGGCAAGTCATTTAATCCTGTTTGCCTCAGTTTCCTCATCTGCCAAATGAGTGGAGAAGGAAACGGCAAACCACTCCAGTATCTATGCCAAGAAAACCCCAAATGGGGTCACAGAGAGTTGGACACAACTGAAATAACCAAACAATTGTTACTCCAGATCTCTCCTATTCTCTACCTGTGCAACTGATTTTTCTTCACATGAGTACACCACTTCACATTTGTTCCAATCAAACTCTATCATGTTAGACAGATCTTTTTGAATCCTGATTCTGTCATCTAATGTATTTTATTGCTGTATTTATGTACAGATTGTCTCCCCAGCAGAACACGTTCCTCTGTGAACTGGTATCCTAGAAATAGGTATCTTAGAAAAGTGGAATCATTCTACAGCAGCAAACAAATATAGTAACCCAATGTTTAACAAGTATAAATACTTAAGTTTTGGGGATAAGAATTCATTATTTGGTAAAAATAGTTGGGAAACCCCAATTGATAAATGGATATGAACAGGCAGTTTTCAGATGAAGAAATTAAAGCTATCTATAGTCATATGAAAAAATGCTCTAAATCACTATTGATCAGAGAAATGCAAATCAAAACAACTCTGAGGTACCACATCACACCTATCAGATTGGCTAACATGACAAAACAGGAAAATGATAAATGTTGGAGATGATGTGGGAAAACTGGAACACTAATGCATTGTTGGTGGAGTTGTGAACTGATCCAATCATTTTGGAGAGCAATTTGGAACTATGCCCAAAGGGCTATAAAAATGTGCATACCCTTTGACCCAGCAATACCACTTCTAGGACAGTATCCCAAAGAGATCATAAAAATGGGAAAAGGACCCACATGTACAAATATTGATAGCAGCTCTTTTTGTGGTGGCAAAGAATTGGAAATTGAGGGGATACCCATCAATTGGGGAATGGCTGAACAAGTTGTGGTATATGAATGTAATGGAATACTATCGTGCTATAAGAAATGATGAGCAAGCAGACTTCAGAAAAATCTGGAAAGACTCGTATGGACTGATGATGAGTGAAGTGAGCATAACCAGGAGAACATTGTACACAGTAATAGCAACATTGCACAATGACCAACTTTTTTAGACTTAGCTCTTCTGAGTAATGCAACGATCTAAGACAATTCCAAAAGACTCTTGATGGAAAATGCTATTTACATACAGAGAAAGAACTGTGGAGTCTGAATGCAGATCAAAGCATACTATTTTCTCTTTTCTTTTTCTTTCTTGTGGTTTTCCCTTTTGCTTTGATTCTTCTTTCACATATTTCACATATTCCATAATGTGGAAATATGTTTAATATGATTGTACATGTATAACCTATATCAGATTCCTTGATGTTTTAGGGAGGGGGAAGAGGAAGGAGGGAGGTGAAAATTTAGAACTCAAAATGTTATAAAAGCAAATGTTGAAAACTAAAAATAAACAAATTTTTTAAATAAAAAAAAGTTTTGTACAAATAAAACAAATGTAGCTAAGATCAGAAGGAAAGCAGAAAACTGAGGGGGGGGGATTTTATAGATAGTTCCTCAGACAAAGCTCTCATATCTTAAATATATAAAGAACTTCATCATAAAAATGTGAGTCATTCCCCAATTGATAAATGGTCAAAGGATATGAATAGGCAGTTTTCCAATGAAGAATTTAAAACAATTTATAGTCATATGAAAAAATGCTCTAAATCATTATTGATTAGAGAAACACAAATTAAAACAACCTTGAGATATCACTTTATACCTATCAGATTGACTAAAATGATAGAAAGGGAAAGTGACAAATGTTGGAGGGGAAGCGGAAAAATTGGGACCTTAATTTATTGTTGGTGGATTTATGAGCTGATCCAACCATTTTGAAGAGAAATTTGGAATTATGCCAAAGAGTAATTAAACTGCCTGTACCTTTTGACCCAGCAATACCACTACTAAGTCTGTTTCCCAAGATGATTAGGGAAAATGGAAAAGAACCTACATTTGCTAAAATATTTATAGCAACCTTCCTTGTGGTAGCAAAGAACTGGAAATTACAGGGATGCTCATCAATTGGGAAATGGCTAAACAAATTATGGTATATGTTCATGATGGACTATTACTCTGCTATAAGAAATGATGAACTCAATGATTTTAGAAAAGCACGGAGAGACTTCCATGAAATAATGAAGAGCGAAATGAGCAGAACCAAGAGAACACTGTATACAGTAACAGCAATATTGTTTTAAGAACAACTTTGAGCAACCAAGTCATTCTATTATAAATACCCAAATTAACCACAAAGATCCTATGAAGGAAGCTGCTGCTTGAATCCAGAAAAAGAACTGACATATATAAATATATATACAAACACTCATATGTATATATGTGTGTGTGTACATATATGTATGTATGTATGTATATACATATGTGAGTATATACACACACATATACATATACATGCAGATTTGTGTCTAATGGTAGCCATCCAAAAGTTTGGGGGGGGAGGGGAAAAAAAGAAAGTCACATGATAACTGCTGTATATTTGAAAGGAACAGCAAGTTGTACATAATGGATCTGCAATTTCAGGTGTAATCTCTCCACATTCTGGAGAATTCTAGGCATTCTGGGAAAAAAATTAGAATTATGCCCCCAAAGTCATTAAATGGCCTTTGCCATTACAAGGTTTATACTCCAAAAAGATCAGAGAAAGAGGAAAAGTACCTATATGTACAAAAATATTTATAACAACTCTTTCTGTAGTGGTAAAAAGCTAGAAACTAAGGAGTTCCCATCAACTAGGGAATGTCTGAACAAATAAAGGTATATGAACACGACAGTACTACTGTGCTGTAAAAAATGTTGAAAGGGAAGATTTCAGAGAAACCTGTGAAGATTTGTATGAACTGACGCAGAATGAGATGAACGGGACCAGAACAATTTACATATTATCAACAACACCGTAAAGACAAACAACTTTGAAAGACTTAAGAATTCTAATCAACTCAATGACAAACCATGATTCCAAAGGACTGATGAGGAAAAATGCTACTTACCTCTCAATAGAGAGGTGAGGGACTCAAAATGCAGGTTGAAATATACATTTTTGGGACATGGCCAATGTGAGATTTTGTTTTCCTTGGTTATGCATATTTATTACAAGGGTTTGGCTTTTGTTTTTGTTTTCTTTTTAATGGGGTAGGAGAGGTTAGGGCAGCTAGGTGGAGAAGTGGATAGAGTGCCAGGTCTGGAGTCAGGAAAACCTGAAATCAAATCCGGCCTCAGACACTCAGAAGCTATATGACCCTAGGCAAGTCACTTAACCTGGTATGCCTCAGTTTCCTCATCTGTAAAATGAGCTGGAGAAGGAAATGGTAAACCACTCTAGTATCTTTGCCAAGAAAACCCCCAATTGGGGTTGCAAAGAGTCAGACATGACTGAAATAACTGAACAACAACAGGAGAGGTTAAGAGAGAGACAAAAAATAAGTGTTTATTAATCGGAAAAAAACAAGCTCCTTGAGAAAAGGTACTGTTTGCACTTCATATCCTCAGTGCTTAGCACAGTACCTAGCACATCATAGATGCTTAATAAATGCTTATTGATTAAATAATTGGTTGTCATCTACAAATTTGGCATTAATCTCCTCATTCAAATGACTGATAAAATGTTTAGATTTAAAGAATCCACCCCAAATGTTCACACGGACTATTTGTGCCTGACCTGTGGTAAAACATTCCAAGCTGGTACTGGTCTGATCAGCCACAGTCGGACACACTGTACCTTGACTCTGGCATAAGGATGCCATTTTGGTCCTCTTTGAGGAAGAAGGACAGCAACCAACCAAAAGATATTATACAGAACTGGGATAAGGTCAGAGCCCTGTGACCACTACTAGAGCTTAATATCAAATGGGGAAAATGGAAACAAATGATTGGGCCCCCAATAGGGTATGACACATTTCCTGATGTCCTGGCCCCAGGCCTACATCCTTGTCCTTGGGTATCTCAGAAAGCCGAGGAAGAACCAGAACAATTTACACTACATTCACAATAATTTTCAAATTTTCAAAGACTCCAGATCTATGATCAAAAGGGAACCAGATGTGACTTCAGAGGACTGACATTAAAGAGTGTCACTTGCCTCTCAGCAGAGAGGTGACACACTTCAGGTGCATAATAAGGCACCTTTTCAGACAACAGCCAACGTGTTGATTGATTTTCCTTTATTACTCTTTGTTACATGGGGGGATAATATTGGTGTGAAAAGGGGAGGAGAGAAGAGTCATTGAGAAGTGACAGAAATATAAAATAATCATCAATAATTTTCTTTAATCCAAGGGAACATTTCTGAAGGATTGTGCCAGGGCTCCCATTCCTTCTCCTTTCTGGGTAGATGGATAGGTGAGGGTAATCTCTGGGAAGGGCCTTTCCATAATAAGAAGAGTGTGGTACAATAAGAAGACTAACTTTGGAAAAAGAGGACGTGGGTTCAAATCCCGCCTCTGCTACTAACTACCTGTGTGACCACCTTGGGCAAGTCACTTAACCAATCTGGTCTTCAGTTTCCTTCTCTGCAAAATGTAGGGGTGGACTAGATGTTCTTTGGAATCTCTTCCAGTTCTAGGTCTATGATCTCGTAATAACTGGTCTTCCTAAAGGCTCTCATGCCTGGGTCCCACCTAAGCATGGTTCTCAGCAGAAGTAACTCCCATAGAGTGGTAAGATTTCCCAAAACTCTGGACTGGCCAGCCCTCTGTCTTCCTACCTTGTTGCCAAGGACTGGGACATAGCTGTCAGCAATGGACCACTTCTTCAGGTTGGATGTCCAGTGGAAGCGGCCTCGAAGAGAACCATAGGGGAAGACGTCGTTGACGCTGTTGGAGCTATAGAGGATGAGGACGGTGATGAGCGCAAACAGGGCCCCTAGCACCACTGATCGTTGGCCCTACAGGAGAAGGGAAGAAGCCTAGATGAAAAGCAGTCAGAGACTAAGAAACCAAAGTCACACCCCCTCCACTCTTAGGCCACAGTAGGGAAAACCAGCTAAGTCATACTCTTAGTCATGGAGACAGTCCATGCACATTGAATGAATGAATGAATGAGTGAATGAGTGAAAGAAAAACCGCTTACCAGGCAGTGTGCTAAGCACTGGGGATATAAATACAAAAACAAAGACAATGGCTACCCTCAAGGAGCTTACATTCTAAGAGGGGAAGACAAAACATATAGGGAAATGGTAGCCAGAGTAGGATAAATGATTGATGCTGTCCTTCTTAGGACAGAGGGAATGAGAGTACCAATTTGATTATTTTTCCCATAGCACTTGCCCCACCATCCCCCCTACCCTCTCTACTTCCCACTGCATCTGGGAGATGGCTGAAGCACATCCCAGTGGGTCTTCAAGCTGACAGCAGTCTTCTAGTCATTCTGCAACAGGACACTATCTCCCAACTCTGTCTTCTCTCTGACTGTGCTCCATGCCTAGGATGCTCTCTGTCCTCACCTACCTCTCCTGGCTTCCTTCAAGACTCTACTCAAACCTCACCCTCTACAAGGGGACTTTTTCTAGTTCTCCACCCTCTCTGCCACTGCTATTGCCTTCCCTCCTCATTTACACTGTATAGATCTCATATGTATATAGTTGTTTGCATGTTGCCAACCCCTTTAGAATGTGTGCTCCTGGAGGCAGAAGCTGGTTTTACCTTTCTTTGTAACCCGAGAGCTTAGCACAGAGCTTGGCACACAGTAGGCACTTAATCTTTGTTGATCAATTGTAGAATGAAGGACCTCAGGGTAAGAGCTGGTGTGCCAGGTCCTCTGAAGACATCCTTACTGCTACACCTGACTGCATCTCACTACAAGAAGCTTCTTACATACCTAATGATTACTCACCTACGGCACATCAGGTACCTCTCCGTCATGTGCCAGAAATATCTACTGAGCACCTGCTCTGTGCCCAGCCCTGTCTCAGACTACATTGTAAATGATGACAAAAGGAAGAAGGCCCAATGGGAGACAAACATGAGGATAATTTACACTTGTAGGAAGAATCTAAGGGCCTTAGATGAGGGGAAGGATAAATCACCCTAGGCTAGGTGTAGTACCAACAAAGGTGGCCTTTAGCCATCTCTTGAAGGATGAAGAGGATTTGGATAGGCAGAGAAGAAAGAGGGCATTTCAGGTAGAGGTGGTGGCATGAGCAAAGGCATGGAATGGTGTGTTCAGGGCAACAGTGAAGGACTAGTCTGGCTGGAGCAGAGAGTTCAAGTACAGCAGGAGTAGGAAATAAGGCTGGATTAGGAAGTTGGAGCTAAGCAGTGGAGAGACTTGAATATCAGACAGAAAAACATTTGCTTTGTCTGTAGGGACCTGTAAGTCACAGAAGGTATTTGAGCAAGGGAATGACATAGAAGAAACATGATGTTTAAAACAAATGAACATGGAAACATGCTCAAGATGGCCTATGGGGGGAGAAAACAGTTAGGAATCTGCTAAATGAATCCAGAGTCCTAGACTAGGGTGGTGGCCAGAGAATGGAAAAGATAGAGGAATGATAGGTTTAAATCACAGGGTGATGTATGACTCAGGAATAAAACCAAGATTTCAAGTCCTGGATTTGTCCTCAGACGAATGTAGCCCAAAGGAAGGAGTCAGGAGAGATCCAAGTTAAAATTCTGCTTTGAACTTGAGACTTTACCTATGGGATGAAGTAAATCTCTTAACCTCTCTGGGCCCCAGTTTCCTCATCTGCAAAATGGAATCTTATGTTACTTAACTCACAGCAGAGGTATCAAACTCTGCAGGTCAGCAAAGCTTGAGTTTACAACCAAAAGATTTAAATGGGATTGGGAAATGTTTAACAAAATAAATTAAAATTCAAGACAAATTAGATAATGCTAATTTGTGGTTTTCAGGAATCCCTTTCTATTTGAATTTGATACCTTCACAGGACAGTTGTGATGAAAGTGCTTTGTAAACCTTAGGGCACAACAGAAATTGGCACCTGGCCTCCAGCCCCTGACTCCAAGCCAAGTAAGTCCACATACTGGCCAGAGCACCCTGGAGAGTAGTGAAAGTGTGAGGGTGACCAATAGGCTTTGTAACCCCCATGTAATCCTTGTACTCTCCAGTCTCCTCAGCACCCACAGGCTTAGCTCACGCGGGCACCATTCAGAGTACATTAACCGTCACTTTATTTGGACCCTGTTGTTAATCGGTTGTATCTTATTCCTATATAGCAGGCAGTTAGGTGGCATAGTGGACAGAGCACCAGGCCTGGAGTTCAAGAAGACCTGAATTCAAATTCAGCCTCAGACACTTACTAGTTGTGTAACCCTGGGCAAGTCACTTAACCCTGTTTGTTTCAGTTTTCTCACCTATAAAATGAACTGGAGAAGGAAAAGGCTAACCACTCTAGTATCTTTGCCAAGAAAACCCCAAATGGGGTCACAAAGAGTCACACACGACTAAACAATAACAATCTTATTCATTCAGTAGAGACTTCTCTTTTGGCATGGGCCAGATCTTTCCCTTCTTTGGTATACCTAATGAGGGGCCCCAAACCCAGTGAGAGTTCAGTCTAGGCGTCTCACCAACTTCTTAGAGCGCCTTTATACCCGTTTCCTAATTTGATCCTCCCCAAAATCCTCTAAGTTAGGCAAGGCAGGAATCCTTATCTCCATTTTATGGATGAGAAAACTGAGGTCCAGGTGAATTGGGGCCCCCCAGTAGGAGGCCCCTTCAGCATCTGAACCTGGTATGGGAAGTACTCCAGTTGAACAGAAAAGATAGTTATAAAGGGTCCACGGTGCCCCGAGGCTGCAGGTCCCCCAAGGGACAGGCTAAAATTCAAGAAGCGCTGGTGCAGAGCGGGTCAAGAGCCCAGAAAGATACCCGGGCAAGGAGGAGAGAAAGATGAGGCGCTTACCTTATTTTTATTCATGTCTCTCCAGCAGTCTTGGGGTGGGAGCAGCCTTCCGGTCACCCGGGGGAGGGGGAAAACAGGTCACACCTGCAAGCCAACAGTAAAGGGTTCAACTCCTCCCAAAAGCCAGGTCTTGGTTCACCACGGGCTGCCCCAGACAGAGGAGACATGGTCTTGAAATACAGTAAGTGATCCCTGAGAGAGCTAGGATTTGCACTGACTGGTCCCATGATGAAAAATCAGCCAATTTCACACATCCATTCAGGAGCAATTCACATCATGGTCTTGGGCTAACATTGGACATTGCTTTCCCTTCTCCAGCCTCCATCTTTTCTCCTTTTCCCTGACCAAGAGCTGTGCCCCTGCCCCCCTATCAAAGGGGATGCCCCCAAATTAGGGCTGGTAGACCTGGGGGGCCCCTGGGACAAGACAGAAGGGAGAGAGAACCAGTTATACTCATCAGGACAAGCCCATATTTTAACCATATGCCCTTCTTTCTCCGTGCTCTGAAATGTCCCTCACTGGTGCACCTTCTTCCTTGTCACTCCCTTCTCCTTTCCTTCCTTTTTCATCTCCGTGCTTAATAAAGGACATACTTACTAGGTCTAAATCAGAGCCTGAGGATATTCTTACAGGTGCATTTTCCAGATGAATTCCCCAACCACCATCCTATTCATCTTTCTTGGTTGGCCAGATTCTTTCTGGCCAAACCCTCATGCCCACCCACAACAGAACTCCACCCATCTTTCTAGGATTGGCCCTTAAGGTTGACAAGTACTCGACGTTGCCAATTTCCACATAAAATCAGAGAATGTCTGAGCTGGAAAAGACCTTTGAAATCATCTAGCTCAACCTCCTCATTTAACAGATGAGGGAACTGAGGGCCCAGAAATGGGAAGTGTCTTCTCTAAGTCATACAAGGAATAAGCATGAGAGCCAGGGCTAGAACCCTTGTCTTACAAGGCTACCACCCAGAGCAGATCACTGGGGATCCTCTCAAACATCAGTCAGCAGGGGATGCATTGCCTACCTAAGGGCATCCGCTTATCCAAACAACAACCTAACCACCAGGGGATTACACAGGGAAATGGAATTAGAACTTGAGGGAAGAGGAGTGTAGGTATGAGGGGGCTTAAGGGAGAGGAATACCAGTTCCATAGGAGAAAGAGCAAAGAATACTCAGCACATGTCGAATTTAATAGAATAGAATACCTGGAGAGAGATTAAAGCAATTTCAGGACTCATAGAAAATTAGAGCTGGTTAAGCTCTTAGTGCATTAGAGCTAGAAGGGCCCTTAAAACACAGAATGTCAGATCCAGAAGTGATCTGAGACGGCCTAATGATCCAACCAGATCATTTGATACAGAAGCCCACAGAAACAAAAGTGATATGTTTAGAATCTTTCAGGTAGTTGCTGAACACCTCACAGTGTTTGCTGAATTGAATTGTATAGGGTCAAGCTATTATGATCCTATGCAATTAAGGTATTAATAATGCCTAATTGCACTAGGTTAGCGTAAGAACTGGAACTAAAACCTAGGTCAGGTGACAGCTATCTCAGTGCTGAGCTCCCCTGCCAAGGGAAAGCAGATCACATGTACCATGCCTGGAAAGTAGGGCCCCCTCACCCTCCCATGTGGGGGTGGGAGAAAGGCCAGGCTTCTCTTGGTTCCCCCGAATTTCTCAGATGGAGGGAGTCCTCTCTTCCAAGACTCCCTCTCCAGGGTTCACAGGCCAAGGCAGCTGCCCTAAGTACACCAGCACAGCCCCTCAACCCTCCTCCCTACCCTACAACTTATCTCGGATTCCCCTCCTGCTAACAAGCAGGGTAGGGCAAGGTTCCAGAGATGGGAGAAGTGAAACAGAGGACAAGACAGGAAAACCAAGAAAGAGATCCAAGAAGGAGAACTGATAAGTTCGCCTGTGTCAGACCTTAGGACAGTTATGTGGCCCCCAACCCCCACTCCACTAACAGAGCCTACCCTTCCCATCTTCTCTCCCCTCCTCCTCTCCCTCTGTGCCTTAGGTGTGTGGGAGGCTGAGAGTGTAGATTCAGAACATTCCGTCCCATTACAGACCCAAGCTCCAGCTCCTACAACACCCCTTCATCCTATTCTCTCTCTTCTTCCCCGCCCCCCAAAAGTGGAGCACAAGGTCCCCGAGTGGGAGAGCTCAGGAAAAAAATACATCAGGGAAAGGCAGGAGACAGGAGGCAGTTGGGGGAGGTAGGATTTGAGGATGGGATTTGGGAGGAGAAGGGGGTATGGAGAGCCACCAAAACCACCCCCTCCATGAAAGTAGCATCTGGGTCAAGAGAGTTCCACTCCTTTTCCAGGCATGGGCCGCTGGGAGCCCCGACTCTGCGCTAGGAACTCTCCCTCATTCTCACTGGCCCCTGTAAGAGTGGGGGGGAGGCAGAAGGGAGGGGGACCCTAGAGCAGTGCATTCTGGGTTGTCACCGCTCACACACCCTCCCAACTCTTCCACCCCCCCAGCACTCTGGCCCCAGGGCACACTCCCTCTACTCCCATTAGAACCACCACCACCACTCCCCCTATAGCTCCTCCCAGGGATGACCGGCTGCCAGCAAGTTTTTGGACAGCCTGAGGGCCCATCCAGGGTGGAGGAACGTCAGAGCCCCAATGTGGGGGCAAAGATCATGCCCAGGAACCCAGTGGAGCAAGCAGAAACTCTGAGGATCAGCCCCCACATCCCCACGCGGGGGCTTAGGTAAAGCAGCTTAGTGTGACCCAGGATGGGGAGACTAGATAGAGGAGAAGAGGAAAGGAAGGGGGAGGGGGACAAGCACCCCTTCATCACCTCTGAGCCCTGGAATCCCCCCACTCTGCCTGCCTCCTTCCTCCCATCAGGGGCCGTGCCCTCTCCCTTCACTCCCTTCTTCACTCGGATGGGGGCAGGGTCCACCATCCAGTCCTAGCAGCTGTCAAGCTAGGGTGGAGGCTGCCTCCGGCGCCCAGCACCCGGGGGATTCCTAAGCGCAAATGAGGGCGAGGCACAGAGTTGGAGGGAGAGCGGGGCAAAAGGGTCCCATTTACCAAGCTCCTGGACCAGCCCCCCACCCCCACCCCTCCCACTCAGCGTATCTCCTCTCCCAGGCCCTCCCCTTCCCGGGCATCTTCTGCCCCAGGCCCCTGGCTCACCTCCCCCGGGGAGCGCCCGTACCCGGTCCCGCTCACATGGCGCTGCAGCTGGGCCCCCAGCGCCTCCGCAGCCCCGGAGCCGCTACTGGCCCAGGCCCCGCTGCAGCCGGAGCAGGAGCCGGAGCCGGAGCCCGGAGCCAGAGCCCTAGCCCGAGCAGCGCGAGGTCCTAGCGCCTCCCAGGCTACCCCTGACCAGCCGGCTCAGGGAGGGAGGAGTGCAAAACCCGAGGGGGGTGGCTCCGCCCTCGCCCCAGAACTGCCTCCTCATTTAGGCATGCATGATTCTTTAGAATCCTAAGGGATTACTGAGTGCCTTAGTCTCTCCTGCTCCCCGCCCTCAAACATCCTGGGTACACAGATAAGTGTCAAGTCAAATCAACAAGCATATATTAAGCTCCTACAGTGTCCTAGGTTCTGTGCTAACTAAGCGTTAGGGGATACAAAGAAAATCGATAGGTGTACCCACCTCTCCATCACTCTTGCCCTCTTCTTAGTCCAGGTACTCATCCACTTTTCCCTGAATTATTTTTTTTTCTCTTTTTCCTCAACTTTTCTCCTTGCCTCTAATTTCTCTCCCTCCAGTCTCTCCTGCCAGACTAACACTCCCGATGATCTCCTCTGATAGCCAATGACTAAAGAACCTCTAGCGGCTCCCTATTGCTTACAGGATAAGCTATCATAGTCATGGCAGGATGGGCAGCTTGGTGTGGTATCTGGCATGCTAGACTTGGAGTCACTCAAAGACAACGGTTCAAATCTCCTCTGTGACATTTCCTAGCTCTCTAAGTCCATGAATAAATTCTCTTGGAGTCTCAGTTTCCTCATCTGTAAATTGGGGATAATAATATCTGTAGTACTCATCTCACAGGGTTTATTATTGAGGCTGAAAAGAGATGATTACACCCTTTGTAAATTCTAAAGCCATATAACACAATATTAGCAATAAACCATCTCTTAGTATTATAGCCAGGTCAAGAAGTATTTGTTAAGCTCTTACCATGTGCCAGGCACTACGCTAAGCTCTGGAACTACAAACACAAGCCAAAAAGAAAGACAGTCCCTGACCTCAAGGAGCTTACATTCTAATGGGAAAAGATAATACCCAAAAAAATGAAATAGGTAGGAGGAGAGATAAAGACAAAGGGGGAAGTGGGTAGAGAATATGGTGGTAGAGAAAATCCCTGCACTAAAACTTTTAGAATACACAGTAATCACAAGTGGAACAAAATTAAAATGATAGAATTTCAGACCTGGAAGGGGCTTTAGGCTATGTCAGAACTGAGAAGTGCCTTAGAATATAGAATGTTAGAGCTTTAAGGAACCTGAGACACCGAATCCATTCATACCCCCTCACCCCATTGTACATATGGGAAAACCAAGTACCAGAAAGGAAATGGGTCTTGCACAGAGTCGCACAAGTAGTTAGCTAGAAAACCAATACTAGAACCCAACCCTCAACCAACTGATAAGCATTTATTACTGTACCAGGCCCTGATTTTTATTGGGGAAGATAACATGTACTATAAAAATATAGAAAATAGATACAAGATAGTTGGTGGGAGGAGGTACTAGCATCCAGGGAGGATCAGGAAAGGCTTCTTGTATTAGGTGGCTCAAGCTAGACCCTGAAGGAAACAAGGCATTGAAAGAAGAGGAAAGGAGGCATCATGTTCCAGGCAGAAGAGGACAGCCAATGCAAAGACAAACACAGAGGAGATAGGATGCCTTCTATGAGGAACAGTAAGACCAGGTTAGCCAGGCCTTAGAGTGCGTGAAGGGCAGGCACATGTAAAGGGGCTTAAAAGGGGTGGAGGATTTAAGAAGCTAAACTGAAGTTTGGTTTTGATCCTACAGGTAACTGGGAGCCCCTGGAGTTTATTCAGTAAGGGGGGGGGCAGGGTGACTTGTTCAGGCCGGTGCTTTAAGAGTCAATTTGTCAGCTGGGTGAAGGATGGATTGGAGAGAGGAGAGAATGGAGAAATGGAGACCAATTAAGAGGCTACTTTAGCTGTCCAGATAAGGGATGACAAAGGGCTTGAATTAAATGGTGACCATGGAAGGGGAGAGGAGATAGATGCCAGAGATGTTGTGGAGGCGAGATGTTGTGGAGGCAAGATGGTGGCAGCTGATTGGATTCCTGACTCGTTCCCCCCCCCCCCCCCCCCGCAAAGGTAGGAGGAACTAATCAAAGACTCTTTGCTGAGAGCTGAGGAGGGAGAGAAGGACCTGGGGCAGGAGGAATATTGCCAGAGAAGAGGAATTTGCTACAAGCAGGGCTAAGGGAACAAAACAGACCATCTCCTCCACACAGCTCCACACACTGGTATTGCTCTAGTTCTGCCCACAGACAAAAAGCCAAAATGAAAGCTTATGAAGGAAAACAGGATGATGAGAAGTGCCTCCTTAGGGCAGGGAAATACCAAGAATCTCCCTGAGTTTGCCCAGGTCACATTGGACAAGGTACGAGTTCCCCATTCTCCTGGGAAGCCTCTGCCACCCTCCTTATCCCTACTAGAAGCTTTCTCTTCCCTGACCCACCTGTCCTGTGCTCCAGGTTCCTTTTTTGCTGGGACCTGATTCTTCTCTTACTGCAAGGAATGTGGAGCTGAGTGATGTAGATGGTGAAAAGAGTACCAGCCCTGCCACTAACCCATTGGCCATATCTGTTTCCCTCTCTGAGCCTCAGTTTCCCAGCTGTACAACAAAGAAAATGAACTAAATGATATCTCAGGTCCCTTCTGGCTCTGACAATCTAGTCAATCTATGATGCCTGCAGGAGCAGGGACACCTGGCTGTGTCCATTTTGCCAGGGAATTGGCAGGCTCTTATGTGATGGGATTTGAAGATGGCATTTAAATAACATCCATGTTTGTCTTTGGAATCAAGAGCTCTGGAGCTCAGGTGTTGGGCAAGCAGAGAGACTGCTGCTAAGGCAGTGAGTGAATGGAAATTTCAGGAAGTTTATTGGTTTGGGAAAGAGGTGCTCATCCTTCCAGCTGAATTCAGAATTCAGATTTTGTCTTCAAGAGAATGAATGACTGTAGGTAGGTAGGGGGCAGGTAGGGAGGCAGACCTGCTCCTCTGGCCATTGCGGGGTGGGGAGATGCTTCATGGGAGGAAGAAACTTACCTGGATGGCCTTAGGCCTAGTTCAGTTAGGGAACTTCCTGAAGGCAGGGAAACCTATAAAAAAAAAATACAGGACACCTCACCCTTCCTGTTCCTCTTCTAACTCCTCCATTCCTACCTGTCCTCCCACCAATGACACAGCAAGCAAAAAACATTTATTAAGTGTCTGCTGCTTTAACTTTTTCACAGTCTTACTTGTATTTTAACCATTTTTGTCCATTCTTCTCCCATCTCCAACACTAGAATGTAGCCTACTTGAGGGCAGGTCATTTTTCATCTTTAGTAAATGGCTCCACTCACCATCCCTGAACTTTCTAAACCATAATACCTCTCTGTGTCCACTACTCCCTTTCATATGTTTACTCCTATAAGAATGTAAGCTCCTTGAGGACAAGGCCTGTCTCAACCTTCTGTATTTCTAGCCACAGGCTTAGCAAAGTACTTGCCATATAGTAATTACTTAATAAATGATTCTTCACTCATCCAGCTTTGATTCTCTGGTGCCTAGCACATTTGGGAGGTGGGGAATGGGGACAGGAGGGAACTGCACCTGTAATTTCATTGACTTAAAGAATTCTCAGGGAGGAAATTCCCTCTAGCAATGCAGAATGGCCCCTGCTTATAGTTTTAGGGGGCTCCCAGAGGGGGCAATGAGAGGTAAATGACTCACTCAGGGTTACAGTTATTATGTATCACAGATAGGACTTAAACCCAAGCCAGCTCCATACATATCCCCCCACACACACATAGCCTCACATCTCGAATAGAAGATGCTAAATTAATGTTTGTCAGACTGAATAGACTTTATATGCACAGCAAATTGCATCAATATCTTGCATCAAATTACATCTTAAATCTTGGCCTTTGGGAAGATGCTAGTGATAGCTCTTGATGTAAAACCATAGACTTTTAGAGCTAAAAGGTGCCTAAGAGACTATTTAATCAAGTCCCTTTGTTTTCCAGGTAAGGAAGCTAGGAGAATACATACAAACTGACTTACCCAGAGTCACTCAAGGCTTGGCTGTGTAGTTATGGAAAGAAAGGCCTGGTCTTCTCTCTCTTTCCACAATGCCTGTCATACACAGAGATGCCTACAAATCTTTCCTTCTGCAATCTCCAAATTCCAGGAAGAATCTTCAGAAATTTAAGAACTCCATTTAGTGAAGAAAAAGGCCCCCAGAAGTTCCTGGCAGTGTCCCTTATCCAAGATGGGGAATCTTTTTCTCCTTCCCTTGGGATAATAGAGCTAGCTTTATATATATATTTGGTTTGAGCCTCTAAATAAAACACTAGCCAATCAACCTAGTAATGCCGCACCTTAGTAATGCCTCCCTGTTACAGAGGAGGAACTGTGAGGCTTCTAGGGGGTGGGTCACCTAGGCTGCTGGGTCAACATTCTGGCCTCTGGGACCTCAGCCAGAATAGTGTTTCCTCCACACCCCCACAATCCCCTTAGTACTGTGAGTTGGGAGTATCCTGCCAGTGTTCACAGCCATGCTCTGGTTGCAGAGAATCGCATCCCTTCCCAGCAATGGAGTGTCAGGATTTTGACCTCATCCAGCCAGTGTCATTGCTGAAGGCCAAAAGACATCTGGCATTCACAGAGAAATAAAAAAGCAGCTACAGAATGTTGGCAAGAGCTCCAGATCTTGGGTCAGAAGCTGTTGTTCCAGCACAGTGCCAGGCACATTTGTTGTTGTTCAGTCATTTCAGTCATGCCCGACTCTTCATGATCCCATTTGAGGTTTTCTTGGCAAAGGCACTGGAGTGGTTCATCACTTCCTTCTCCAGCTCATGTTACAGATGAGGAAATTGGGGCAAACAGGATTAAATGACTTGACCAGGGTCACATGGCTATTAAGTGTCTGAGGCCAGATTTGAACTCAGGTCTTCCTGACTCCAGGCCCAGGACTCTATCCACTGTGCCACCTAGCTGCCCTGAATCACAAGACCTGG